CTTCTCTTTAGCAAAGAGACACTTAACAGGAAATTTTTCTATCCCATTCTAGAAGTCTGAGCTTCTCTGAGGAGTGTTTTGCCAGGAACTAAAGGAGAGTGAAGGAGGAATTAGGGCTCTCAGTCAATATTTCATAATGTGCTAGTAGCTGACATTACATACATCTTTCATTTTTTGAGCTGTTAATGCTCTATGTATTTCTGTGCTTATGGCTAGTTTGTAGAAGAAATAATGACAGACTCCCTCTCTTATCCTGTATTAATAAAATGCAAGCTTTTTTTTTTCTGTTGATTGCTGTACAGAAGCAGATTTATACTGGCTACACATCACCATTGTGTGTATAATTATGTTTTGTGTGGTATTTAAAGAAAGACAATCCCAAATAGAAGTTATCTACATGATTGTATTGCTTCTGTTACTACAAAATTACAGCCCAGATGATGTCCCAAGCTTTACTGAGCCAGATGGAAAACATTATCATGTAAAATGTAGTCTATGCATCCGATACACTACACCCACCACGAGATCCATACACATACACAAAATAGGAGCAGAGAATGCCAAAGATATGCACATATTGTAGAAAAGGATACTAGGAGTACACGCGATGCTAGGAGAACAAAGGTCTATGATGCAATTGTAGGTCTTATTTCTGCAATTTGATATTAAATTAACATGATGATGTTCTGGAGCACCAGACATTGGCATTATGATAGTGCTAACAGACTTTTCACACTGTAGTTGTCAAACCCATAACGAAGAGCATCTTATTGCAATGTTAACATAATGTAAATTTTTATCACAAAAGCAATTGAACTGAAATCATCAACATGCTCCTTCTTTCATTCAAGTAAAATTTCCTATCAAAACAAAAAACCAAGAAAGAAAGAACTGTCTCCCACATTGTTATTAGTTTCTTTAAATGCTAAAGTCTTCACTAATATATACTTCAAAAATAAAGCAGCAGAGATTGTAAAAACATCAATACTCTAAATACATACAAAATCAGATATTATTTTAGTGCTATTAAAGCAGCCATAACAGCCACACATCTCAAAAGTATTGAAACAAACAGACTGAAAAGAAACATGACAAAAGAAAAGCACATTTTGAATTCAAGATATACTCAGAGAACACAAACCAACCATAATAAATGGCATGGATGCTCTGATTTTATCAGCATATCAGCACAGTGATAGCTGTTTGTACTTCGAGAAAATATGACACTGCTTTGATACAGAGGTCCAAGCAAATGCACAGACTGTCATCTCTGTTAAGACAACCATTTTTTTCAGTAAAGCCCATGTCAGCGCATAATTACCTAACAGTGGTTTTGTTAGCCTAAATGACATTAAAGAAAACTTTCATCAATACGTCTTATATGAACCTGGAACTTATCTGACTCCTCTCTATCCTTAGTGCTTTCCAATAAACATATGGAAAACAAACAAACAAAACAAACACATAAAACACTCTGAAGTAAAATCAATGCAAACCTAAGACCCACGCTATCTGTTCATTTGAAGTGTTAGTTCATTTCACTAGGTCAGCATATGGAAACAAGCTTACTGAAATTGTATTCACAATAGTGCAGTTTCAAAAGTAGCCAAGGTATTGGGTCATTTCTGCCAAAAAAAAAAAATAAAATAGGAAGATGAGATCACATCCCTGCTCCCAGACTTAGTGTCTGCCTCCTTACATTGCATGAGCTCTGCCAAACCCTTCCACGAATTGTGAAGGAAAGGGACAGGGGAAGCAAGACACTTCAGTAGTGGTCAGCTACTGTACAAATTTGAAATACCTTGTAGAAATTCCATCTGTGTTGGAATCTAATTGTGACCAGAGACAATAAAGTTGCAGAAAAAAACTATTGGTATTATCACAGATCAGCTTGTAACCTTAATGAGACTACGAATGAAATGCCTGACATTTGAGAGCTGTCACAACAGTTTGATTGCCTGATTCTGGTGGCCTGCCTTGTTTTTTGTCCATGTGCATGGGTGTGCTATAGGTGTAAAACCTATTCGGATAGCTTCAGAGGGAGACAAATGGGTAGCATCTCATCCACGCTGTCCATAAGCCACAGGACAAACTATCCCAAGGCTACAACTGAGTTTTAATTAGCTTTAATCGACTCAGTTACTCCATTCACTCCAGAAGACAGCCTAGAATGGAAGAAATACCTCACAGTGTGGCTACACGTGCACTGTCTCTACTTCAATAGATTCTCTCTTCTATGGGAACTGAAACCAGACTTATTCATATTCCAGACACTGATGGAAAGTAACACACATTTTCTAATAAACGAGCATGCAATTCTCTCTCATGCATTCAATATCAGAAGATATTATTTATATCTGCTGTAATGATTGATGTATTTTCAATATCCAGGTTTCCTACGGTTTGTCTTTGAGCACATTAACATTCAACATCCCCTAGCTATTTTCTCTTTCTAATGACATTTCTGCTTTCCAAATTAAAGCCTAAGAAGCTTCTTTGATGGGTTAAGTTTCTTGGCCTTTTTGAGCAAGCTGGTAAAACTATATTTCCTCGGAAGAAATTGGAATGTTTTCATTTATTTTTTTTTCACCTGCTCTGAGAACGTAAAGAATTTTACTTATCTCCAGCATAAATTTTGATACTCAAAGGAAGAAAATATCCCTGAAGCCCAACAGTTTATGCTTTATAGTTTAAAGATACAAACATCTTATGAAGAGTAGAAATATAAATTCATTAGTAGCATTTCAATTCTCTTGCTGCAGAAGCCTGGAAGAAAAATGCTTTAAATGCTTTCTGCAGACTGATTCTAGTGCTGAAGTTTACATCTCAAACCAAATTATAGCATACAATTATAAGCAATCTTTGTATCTAGAGTTCAGATTTTTCTGTTCATTCTGAAAGAGGCTTTATCTTAATTGGCTTTATGTCTTCCAACCTCTGCCATGCCTCGCTTTTTCTTTAAAAGGTGAGAGACGGAATAATGATATTTTAAGGGAGGTTTGGAAAACAGAAATATGTCTTTATTAATGTAATAAATGTACTTAATATGAAAACTACTAATTAGCTATATAATAAAGGAGTATCCTAATGCAGACCAGTCTAACCTATTCATAAATAAAATTAAGAACAAAATATTCAAATCATAAACCTAATTAACTTTTCCTTAACAGTCACAGGCAACTCGTCAGAAGTTGAAAAAATAGTCTATCGATTTATTAAAACATAATTTGACTAAAGAATTTAAGTTTTTGTATTTATTTTCAGTTTTCGGATAGGTTCCCATGCAGCAGCAAATAGTTACAAGGCTATAGCAGGAGACTACATTATCAAATCTGCCTCTCTTCAGTGATGCACTACATTTACTAAAATAGACGTATACGGGAAAGCCATTGAATTCAAGTTCTACCCAGAAACCCTCTCTAAGCTGCTGCAATACAAAAGTAAAAAATAAAATAAAATAAAAAATCATGTGAATAAGCTTATCTTTTGACAGAAACCTGCTTAAAGCCAAAAACATACATCATCCATCCATCCATATGTGGATTTGTCAGAAAGATGATCACAAAACAATTTATTTGAAAAAGAAATCCTGTTTTGTGCCTAATGTCTGATTATGTCCCCTTAAACCTATGAATAAAACCCCCCTAGACTCCATTTTATATCTTAAAATGACAGATCTATTTCCTTTAAAAATAAAAAATAATAAAGCAATAAAATAATATAAACCTTTGTTTGGAACCTTATCATCCACAACCACTGCAGAATATGAGATTTTTTTTCTAGTTGAATTTTCACAGTATCCAATGTACACTTCTCTTTTGTTTTTATCACTTATTAAAGCATTTTAAAACACAGTTCAAAATAAATTACCTCAGCAAATGTTCAGCTACTGTATGACATCACAGTGACTGCAGAAATATCTATAATACTTATGATTTCTGCCAAGCATTTTCCCAGCCCTTCAGCACTTAGCAAAGTGACTGGGCATTGCACTATATCTAATATATCAATAAACTATTCAGAAACAGATGGTATAAATTCCATAAACACTTCACACAAAAAAGCTGTGCCAATGTTTTTACTTATACAGAAAAGCCAGACATAGGCAACCCCAGATCCTAACTTTAGCACCATTGCTCTGGAGAAAAACAACATTTTCGTTGATCGAAAATTAGATTTAGTGCCATAATTAAGCATAACGGGCCAGAGGTCACGTTGTATTTTATGTGTTTGTTCAAGATGACTATTCAGCTCTAACTTGTAAACCCTGTGCAGCACATCAGAACATTTAGCAGTGTGACCTTCATGATCTTCTCTTCCATTCCCTACCATCTCTTCCCCCCATCTGGGTGCATAAGAAGCAGGAGCAGCAGTAACACCCTCCAGTTCTGTTTTTAATTAAGAATCCTAGACACTGGTTTTTCACTCAGCAGAAAGCACAAAGCCCCACTACAAATAGACCAAAGACAACTTGAATTGAGATGTGCACCAAGAAGGTAGGAAGATATAAATGAAACCTGTTGCACCTGTTGCTTACAGAGCAAGAGAGCTCTTCTCTGTTATAAGGCCTGAAGCCCAATCCCAGAAGAGAAGGGCTTCTCATCTTGCTCTTCCTTTTTTTTTTATTTTTTTTTTTCTGGAATCCTTCTAGGGCTCACCAATCCTTTACAAAAAGTGGTTCATGACACCAGAAATGTATTATAAGGAAAAAAAAAAGCATTCAGTAGAAGTCTAGAGGGTACATGCATAGCTCACATTTAACTCTACATAATCTTCGGGAAAAAAAATATTAATTTCTGATCTAGATGCAAAATATTCATTAAAATAAACGTTGTAGAGTAAAACACCCATTTAATACACTTCTTTTGCCCCCAGTTTACTTACAGGATGATATTAGATTTGCAAGAAAACTAGAATGTTCCATAAATTAAAAATATGTAATATTTTATATAAATTACAGTTTTAAAATTTAAATTTAAATATTTAAAAGGATCACTTACTGGATGTTTAGATGAAATTCTGCCAGTCACAGTTCCTGTCTGATTCCATGTAGAGGAAATAAATCCCTACAGTCAAGTAAAATAAACATACCCACAAAAAAGAAAAGGATGAAGCCATACGTCTAAAAAGGGCATATTTCTCTAAAGTTTAATTAATGCTAATATTAGTTATAAAAACTCACTGCAATCAGGATTACAAAGTCAAAAAGAAATATTTTGTAATTTTCCATACATAAAATTTCTTGAACAGTAAATACTTCAATCATTTCATACCTTTTTACGATTTATTTGAAACACTATGTTTTACAGACTACTTTTCTATTTTTACCTTTCTCATACATGTTCGTAGTCCATCCACATAGGTTGATTTTATCTTACGAACCTGAATTACACAGAAGTATTAGAAAAATGCTTATTCATAAAAATAGATTTTCACATTGAAGATCTTAATCTCAAATACATATAAACTTGTTTTGCAGACTTTCTTAAAAGACAGTTTTACCTTAGAAAATAATGGATGCATACTCACTAGTAGCTTGACCTATTAATATATGTTAGGAAAGTACTAGGTTATACCCTAAAGCCAGGTCTATAAAGACACTAGTAAATAAACTACTGGAATTTATTAATTTGTATCTTATACCCCCCTCATCAATAAACTACTCAAAAAAAGACACAAACAAAAATTTGCACGTTTTAGTGGTGTTTTTTGTTTGTTTCTTATCTATTTTGGAAACTGATCAGCTGAATTCCCCAAACATTAAGAACTAACTAGGTAATTTCGGGTTTTCAGGAGGGTATTGTCATCTAAAAAAAAAAAAAGTTGTCATCTCCTTCACTATCTTGATAGTATTTCTTCTGAATTCAGAAAATAAGTATTTTGTCCTGAGAATGTGCTTTATAGTACTAAACAAATTTAGCAGTGTAGTTTCCCAAGTGCTTTTGCTGTAGTTTCTGCTAGCTATAATCTAACATCGTGCAAATAAAAGTATAAACTTTAAATTCAAAAACTCTTAAGAATATCTACAGCTTGCAAATTTAAATTTCAATGAATATATGAAATAATTAAACTAGATCCAACTTTGTTTGTTTGTTCATCTGAGAACATATTTCTTGCTGATTTTGCTTCAGTGCAACTACATTATGTAAACACATCACCTCACCTGCCGGTATTCTAACATTATCTTAGGCAAAGGATGAAGATCTTGCAACTTACTCAGCTGCAAAATAAAGAATTCGAATTACTGGTGTATTTTTCTGCTAAGTGGTATTATTTAGCCACCTTAATCTCACCATTAGAACACTGATTGATACTTCACATTTAACTGTCAGAACGTAAAATACAGCATAAGTTCTGGTGGAAGACATTCTCTCACCAAGCTGAGGGGATGAAAAACTTGCTAAAGAATAATGTCCTTCAAGCAAACACAGCCCAGGCCCAAGGGAGCCTTCATTCTTTCCTGCCTTCAGCAGGAGGGCTGGAGATTATCCCTTTGCATTTCATTTCCTTTCCCATTCCAGACAGGGACAAAAAGATCTGCAGACAAAAGCTGTTCCACAGAACATAGCAAACATATAGGGCAGGGGTGTGTATGTGTGAATATGGCCCTTTCTTTCATTTTTGTGCTAGACAGCATCTAAGTAAGAGATAACATGAAAAAGTACACAAAATAATACGTTTATACATATATACACATATATGTAGACAATATATGTATACATACATATATTGTATATATTGTATATGTACGTGTATATTTTATACATGTGTATGTATACACACAAAATGCAAAAGGAGAATTTATTCCATTCATCCAATAACACAAGTTCCAGAAGACTTTCAATTAAAAAAAAAAAAAAAAAAAAGTTGAAATTATCAAATTCAAAATCAATAAAATGAAGCAAATTTATGATAACTTTGACTTTAAATTGACTTAACATTTTGTTAATAAAAAGAGTCAAATGAGCTTGGATATTTAGAATTACAACAAAAATATCTGGAACTACCACAGTTCAGGGTAGAAAACTGATGCAATTATACCAGAATGATGATTAAAAACCGTTAAGTTTTTTTCTTACTATCAGGGACAGACAATATATTGATAATATATTAATTATCTAGTATTTAACTATTATGTTTCAGATTACATTTCTTTAATTAACCCAATATCAACAATTGTTGGAAAAAGCAATGAACTAAAAAAAAACAAAAAAAAACATTGCTTTGATAGACTGCAACAAATCTTATATTCTCACACAAAGAAAATGTATTTTATATCACTGATCCTTCCTATCTCCCAAGCCTTCCCTGTCACTCACCAAGATTACATATTTGATCTATGAAGCCTCCTTTTCCATCAATAGTGTGCAATTTTTGTGGTTATGCTGCTGACATTAAGTCAGAGATAGTATCTGGTAGTTCAGACAGCCCAAGAGTTGAATTTTGTCTCTCACACTTGAGAAACAAATACTACGTTTCTGTTTTCCCCAAAGGTGCTCATTTTCAGCCATGAGTTTTCAGTTTGACTCCCATGTAAACTAGAGCAATAAAACTGCAGCTACACCAAGAGATTCTGTGATTATTTTAATAAAAGGAAGGGGCATCCATATTTGCCTCTGAAGTTACCAAGTAGTCTGCAGTTCAACCTTGACTTTATCATTTATAGACAAATGGTTTTGGCATGTTTCTGTCCTGTGGGATCACACGCTGAGCACATGCATTGCTGAAAATGATCTGTTCCAACACTAGCAGAAGAAAAAAACCTGGAGAAGTTTCATATGTGCCGTATTCACTACACTGTATCTGAAAACACATTTCACCTCTTATAAAGGTGAGTGAAAGTATCTAAAGTGGTCATTACTGCTCTCAGGGAACACGATTCTATCAAAATCCTGCAGACAACTCCAAGTATAACTGTGTTTACTGAACACAAAAGAAAGCCTGGGTTTCTCTTTCTTTCACCAGCAGATTTTACATTTTCTCTCACCAGTGGTCTCCTTCAAAAACCAGTCATACATGTACTTAGCTACCAGCATCTGACCAGTGAGAAAGTCTTCCTCCTCTGAGGAAGATAGTCCTACACGCATGCTGGTACTAAAGTCTGTAACCCTGGTTACAGCTAAAGTTCAGCTTCAGTAGGTGCTTTGTTTGTTTATCAGGGAGAGCAACTTAAAGAGAAAGAAGTCTGCAGGGGCATCAGATCCTTTTTTAGGAGGTGTTCAGTCTGTGAGGGAGAGAAGGCAGGATGCAGTCTCCAAGCAGAACACCTGTAAACATATTCACAGGTTGTTCTGGAAAAATTGGAAATAGCACAAATAGATAAAAAAAACCATACACCTCTCATTCTTGTTTCAGAGCAAGGGAGAAATCCTAAAAGGTAAACTACTCCAGATTAGTTTATTGCCAGCTCCACACTGACCTATAAGAAGGTAAGGTCCATAGGTAAGAGTAGATTTGGCATTAGATCTCTGTAGAGCCACTACAAAATGTTAGGAAATACCAAGAATTTCAGATCAAAAAACTACAAATTACTTCCTTCTTTTCTTACAAAGGTGTATTCACTGTAGAGTTGTTTTTCTACCTGAAGCTTGACAAATGTCAAGGGCAGTAGTATTCTCTATCCTTTCCATTCCTGGTAAGTACTAAGGGGACAGCCCCCATCCCTTTCATTTCTGGCACAAATAAATGAAATGTGATTAATGTGACTTAAAAAATAAACCAAGATTGTTGGGGAAACTTTAGACAAGTGTCGGTTTCACTGAAACATAACTTGGAAGTTTTTCTAAATTATGAAGATAGTTAAAAAAAAAAAAAACAACTCTCCCTATCTCACCACGACTTCTGAGGTGGATGCCACTTGTTGCCTTTCAGTTCTTGGAATTTTCTCACACAGTGTATGCAGTTTTAACTTTTCAAATAGTACCTACATTAACAAAACATGTAAGAAAACAGTTTCAGTATTTCAGTGCTGAAAAGGAATGGAAAATTCTGTGCCTGAACTTCAGTCTAGAAAACAGATTTAAAGCAAAAAAGAGTATACTGTAGGGAAGAGAATCAACACAGAATGTAAAAGATAAAATCTCTGCCTTTGATATATATTTAACATTACTGCATTCACTAAATTAAAATGCTTTATTTCTTTAAATGCAGTCAAATACAGATTAGCCCAAACTGTCAGATTTATGAGAAAACTAACAAGTCCTCTATTATAATCAGAAAAGATAAGTATTTAGAAAAGAATCTGAAGTTGTAAGAACAAATTTATATGCTTTATAATTCTTTTCTATCCATAAAAATTTACAGAACAGAGAGCTTAGTTAATAACAGCAGTATAAATATTACCTCTCTGAGTTGACTACTACTGGTCAAAAGGAATCGTTCTCCAGCAATTTGATGGGCCTCCTGTTCAAGCTCTTTGAGTCTCAACTACAAATGAGTACATCAGAATTATTCTGTTTCAATTATTTTCTTCAATATTCTGCTGCTTCCTAGATTAATGAGTATATTAGACTTCTACTTCCAAAATGGATACTTCATAATGTGTAATCATTGTTGGCTACCTGGTGTAGTGGATTGCTTACATATTTTTAATTTACAATTCTCTGTGATCTGGAAAGGAGGATTTAATGTAGTAAAAACTACCAAAAGTCATTGGAAAATTATTTAAATTATTGAAGACTACAGAGGTCTGTGAGAAACAGAGCTGTGCAAATCATTCTGGCACACTTACAAACTGTCAGACCACTACAATTACCTAGTCAGAATTAATGCTACAAAATAGGATTCTCTTGTAGCTATTTTACCAATAGGAAAATGGCAAACTTGGAACTCTCAGAACATATAATTTGTAAAGAGTGTTTTATTTGTAAAGAGAGACAGAAATATGTATCATTTCTCAGAAAGATGGTTACTGACAACTGTAGGTTCAAAAACATTCATTACAACTTTTACTCAACCCATAATCTGTTTTGCATTTTGCAATGCATTCTTAGTTCTGGGCAAAGCTAATGAAGCAAATATCTCTTTTGCTTGACTAAATAAACGTAACATAAAATGTGATAAAACAAACAAACAAAAAAATCCTCCTCTTTTTCACTGTTGTTCTCTGTAAAAGCAGAAAAATGCTATTTAATTTTCGAAAGAAAAAAAAATAAAGACAAAATTTACCCCCAGAATCTCTGATGTTTTTTTCAGTTCTTGCTTGTTCACATGTATTTTGTGTGTTTCCATCACTGTAAACACAAATACAGAGTACACTTACTATTGACAACTGTGATCTTGCATAATTCAGACTGTAAAATGGGAGCTCTAACTCACAAAGGTGTTATAAGGATAAGGTAACGTGTAGTATTCTCAGTTATAACTTTAAGGTCTCTTCCAAACCAAACCATTCTGTGATTCTATGGGATAGGACAGGATAACATCCTATGTCAGTAGAGCAAGCAGCTGTGTGAAAAAGGTGAAGAGTCTTATTTTGAGCTGGTTTCATACCTGCCAGAATTTTGATCAGTGGAAGCTCTAACGTGCAAAATAATTTCCACAAACCTTGAACCTGTAAAGCAAGATACGAATAAGCATCAGTATCAGCCAACTTTAATTAACACAATCAAACATATAATAGTATCATTATGCATATCCATTTTTCAGTAAGCCATATTTAATTTTCTATATAATCCCTTTTCATATGACAAGGCTGTCTGTGTAATGAAATACTACTTAGTGTGAATTATAGTATCTAAATGCTATAGTCAGTTATCACATCATTTTGTAGGGAAAGGTACAGGAACAGTAATAAAGAAATACACACATCTCATTTTGTTCTAAATGGTTTATTTTTAGAGTAAGATCCGTTATAATAGAACATACAGTTATCCCTTTATTTACTTGAGTAATTAAGCAACTCCTCAGAATTCACAAATTTGTTTTCATTAGGAAGAATATACAAGATAATGGGGTTATGTACCCAATTTAGTTACAAAGAACAGGAAGTCTTTTTTCTCTAACCACTGAAGCAATTAGACAGCAATATTTGTCTAAAATCTCCCCCTGTAGGCTGGTGATGAGTATTTCTGTGCCTTAGATGTTTCCCTATTGCCTTCTTTCACACATTGAAGGATTGCTGGGCCACCTAAAAATCCAGACTAACCTGGCTAAACTAACTGTCTAATCCCTTAAAATATATTTCAAACAAGTTTCAAGGAAACCCCTAGCATCTCTCGGATAGGGATGGTTTGGATGAGACATTAAGAAGAAATTCTTTACTTGGGGGGGGTGGTGAGGCACTGGCACAGGTTGCCGAGACAAGCGGTAGGTGCCCCATCTCTGGAAGTGCCCAAAGCCAGGTTGGATGGAGCTTTGGACAATCTGGTCTGGTGAGTGGTGTCCCTGCCCATAGCAGGGGGCTGGAACTGGATGGGCTTTAAGGTCCTTTCCAACCCAAACCATTCTGTGATTCTAGGTACCTTTCACCAGAACCTGAGCATATCCCTGAAGTCAGACACATTTCCAGACATATGATCACAAGAAGAAAATTAAACAGAACAGAATAGAACCCCCACAAAAATAAAAGAATTCTTAAGATGCATTCTGAACTTCAATAAGGGCTAACATAACCCACAGAGCTGATAGACATGCTTAGAGTTTTTATACCCAAGGAAGACATTCTCTAAACGTGCCTACCTGCCTACGAAGTAAATCCACTACATTGTTTGAACTCTTAATACTTTTAGATAGTTTCTTATAGCTTTAAAATGTAAAATGAAAAATCACAAGTCTGAATTTTTCCTGTTCTTACAATCTTTGTTTAAATATTTAAGTTAACTGTTGCATAGGAAGTTTCTTCAAGATACCCTTTCAGAGTAGACACTTCATTATTCTGAAAAACAATGGCAAATTTGATGGACAATTTTAAATGTTGATCAGCATTGTAAATTGGTAAGGGTTGAAGATTTCTGCTTTACTCATATAGAGGTTCTGATCTGAATGAGAAGCATGTCACTAGCTGTCTTTAATTTACAATACCTCAGAAGTTATAGCTGAGTAACTACTTTTCATATCTTACCTGTAAGTCATGAGTAAGGTCTGCCATTACTGTATAAAGCTTCTCTAAGTTTACACCTAAATTTTGGTACTGATAAAAAAAAAAATAAAGACTTCTAAGATTAAAATATTCAGAATACTACCTATTTTAAAAGGGATTAAACTATTTAAATATATATTTTTTTATATTTGTCTCCTGTAATATTTAAAACTTCAGTAATGTTTTTAGACCTCTGGAAAAAAAAATCATGAACACAGGATATATTAGATTTTAACTGTTCCTTTATTTACATTTTGCAAAGACCAGGTACTGAGAAATAGTGTTACTACATGCTGCCTTTGATGTTGAAGTCAGAATTCTATTACTACTTGTAAAATGAGGAAAAATACATTGCAAATTTCTTTTTCTGTCAGTACTGCCCTTCTTCTGTGCCTGAATTATTCACTTCCTTCTGTTCCAGGGAAGTTCCACACAATCATACTGCCTTGTTTAGTTGACTAGAAGATCATTTTGACAGGAATATACAGACTGAAAATTTAAGAAAGATTCTAGTCTAGTTCTGTAATGCATAACAAAGAAAACAAAAAACAAAACAAAACAAAACAAACAAACAAACAACAAAAAACATACACAGCAAGAACAAGAAGGAAAAAAAAAAAAAATCCCTGGAAGGAAAAACCGTCCTGAGAGAAGTCAGAGAAAATCTACATTAAACCCCACAAGACTATGGAATTTTGAGGAAGTCCAGAAACCCAGAATGCAAGATAATGATGCCAGAGAGTGCAATACTGACTGCAGATTCCTGTTGATAATATTTTGGAAAAAAATATCTATAGCAGATAGAAATGCAGAATGCTCAAGCTTACTATTTTATGCTTAACAACATGAGCATAATGTACATCTGATGGAAGACTCAGAGCAGAAGCCAATTTTGATGCCAATAGAATCCTAACCACTTTACAAGATAATCTGATTACATTCACTGCTTCCTTCTCAATAACTTCATAGCAGGGGACTGACCTAGATTTGGCTAGATTCTTGGTGAGCAGGGTATTCCAAGATCATTTTTTACTAAAATAGTACACATAGTCAGGGTTCCGACTAAATTCAAGAGCTGTTTCCCAAGTGAATTACATCTTTCTGTCAAGAATAGTAAACAGACTCATCCTGATTGACAGGACACCAAATGGCCATGAAATCACATGGAAGGCTTCTCAATTGAAAAAATGCTGACAGCGTTCTTTGGACACCTTGTAAGTAAGTTATCTCCACATGTATCATTCACCCTACAAATATTTTGAAGGAATCCTAACTATCTTGTGCTCATTTTTATTATTTGCATGCCTGTCCTGGAGCTGGCAGAATACAAAGAGGGTATCTTACACCATGAGCTGCAGAAGTCTCTCTTTTCTCTACAGACCTGCAGATATTCTATAACCTTCTTACCTTAACTGCTTTCATGAAATATCTAAAAAGTTGAAAAAAAATCTCCTCCAGAAGAAATACGTTTTGCTTTCTCCACTCAAACTGAGCTAGAAGGTGTTTTGCTTACCAGAGTAAGCTCTCAGAAATTATGCTACCAAATCCAGCTTTGCTACCCATTCCACAGTTTCATGGTTTTCACTTGATATATTCAGAATCTTCCCTTTAGTCCTTCTGTGATGAGAATGCAAGGACATTCTACTTGTTATCAGATTTACACTCTAAGACTGCATGGAAAATGAAGAAAATGCTTAAATTTGAATGAAGCATCTAATGTTTTGTAAACAACAAAAACAAGATTACGTTATCTGGAAGAGCATATGTAATGAAACCAGATATGGTATCACTACTAAATTGGATGTCATTAAGTTATGAATTATGGATTAAACCAGGAAGATTGCCATTGAAATTGTTGCCAAGAATATCTTCTTAAAAACAGGTCTGATGTCAGAACACTGTGGTCCTCCAGGGCTTTTAATCTGCCCAGCCAGGCAGTAATTCTTTCAAAGCAAAAGCGGGTAAGTATAATCAAAGTGGTAGGACAATTTCTTGTTTGTTTCAGTGATGACTCTTCACAAATATCCAGCCTGAGACAACTGCACTGTCTTCAACTGCATGCAAATAGTTGTCCTTGTGAAAATACGGCTTTAGTTAGAAAACTGCTACATTAGAATGAATTGATCAGTCTGGTTGGCTAGGTATTTATTATTCTGATCTTTTTGCTGTATCAAACCTTTGATTTCTTGTTGCAAACACCTCTGCATGTTCTTTCATAATGAAGCTTTACATAGACTAAGAGCCATAATTTTCTGGTCAGCAGAAGTCTTTCAAAACTTGCATTTTAATGGGTAGCAAATTAAAATTAGAGTTGATAAAGATTTTAAGAAAGCACATATAATTCAAAAACACAAAATCCAGTTTACAAGTAGATAAAGAAGTGGATTAGGTGGGCACTAGTCTAGTAAAATCAGGGCTAGAATTTAGAAGACTGAAAGAGAGGGAGAGGGGAGATTAAATGTCAAAAGAGCCTTTTACTGAAATCCAGAAAAGAGGAGGTTGTGTTTAAATGAACATGACAAATGCATCAATGAGGCATGTGTGCTCAAAAAGAACCACACAACCAAAGAAAGATACTCTTAGCTGAGAGGAGTGATCGGAACAGGTTAGAGAATGCCACTGGTCTACATGCCAAGGTATTTCTCTTCTGACCTCTGTATTGTACAGCCCTCCAGTGCCAACCTTCAGCCTCACAAAAAACTACATACTTTCCTACCCACCCATACCATGAATATAGTTACCACAAGCAACATACTATGAAAAACCTTGACAGATGGAAGTAGCTTGCTCACCATTTCATCATGTGAGTTATTTTTGCTACAGCCCTTTCCAAAAAAGAGGAGGAAAAAAATCATTTGCACAGCCTTGGAATGTTGAGAACCCTCAACTCTATTACTCCACTTTGGGGGTAATTTTTGCTGCAACCACGTTTTCCTACCACATATCAGAGAAAAACAAACAAACAAAAAAATATTGACCTGACTGCAAGAAACCTTGTCCATATCCAGTGATCCTGGAACAAGTGAGCTGTCTGTGAAAGAGTGCTTTCAGCACCAGCCAGCCTAATTGATCTGTTCTGAAGGTGGAAGTAAGCCCAATGGCAGGCTTCAAATGATTTCAGGATTCCTTATCAGCAAACACAGTACAAAAGCAGCATGATGTGTAGCACCTGTTTCAGCAAAGGTTTCAATGAATGTGGACTACGATCACTTTTGTGGAGCCTTTTGGCACAGCACCTAATATACAGATCAGCAAGTAGTACACACTCCATGCTACAGAGGGGTCTGGGTGAGTAGCTGGAGCTGCAGGATACAGAAAAAAGTAGCCGTCATCCCAAGTATCATGCTGGGTGGACAAGATTAGCAGAAAAGGAAGCTAAACTGAAATTGTGGGGCACAGGACATGATGCACCACCTGGCCTCAAGCACTCTGGGTGTACAGAGGACTGTTAGGAACCTAACACCAAATACAGAGCAAGAAGGTGCCAGATAAATCTGGCAAAAAGATAGGATTCACAGAAAAAAATGGCACTGACTGGGCAGAGAAGTCAAACATAAAGTGACTGGGTCCAGAGAACTAATGAATTGGGTAAGGAATAGGGGGGAGAATAATTACAGCATGTTAGAGGGAGGCATAAACAGGGACTTGGATGAAATCAGCATAAAAGGCACTAGAGGTGGCTGGGGCAAGGAATCAAACTAGACCAAAGCAGGGCAAGAGGAAAATAAGACTTCAATATTTAACTCAGAGATGGGAATCAGGATGAGAAAGCTGAGAAATTAAAACTAAGAATAGATATGATGTAGGAAGAACAAAAGACTGAGGGAAAATATGGAAAGAAACAAGTCAAGGATGCTGACTCACACGACAGGACAGCACATGTAAAAATAACCTGCAACTGTACAGCTTCTGGCTGTTTACCTTTCTTTCCATTCCCTACACAAGTAGCTTGAAGTAGCTTCTGAACAACAGCAGATTACAGATAGTGTTTTGAAGTAAACTAGCTTTATTTGTCTCAGAAGGGCCTATGCAGTTGGGTATGTGCTTATATGAGGGAGCCCTGTCCATATTCCAAGTCCACTTGACATCATTGGGTTTGTATCCCCAATTGGGATTGTGTCTCTACAATCACAATATGATTCATGTGTCTGAACAAGCAACACCTCTGAAAAGTGAAAGGTTTCAAGAAATCACCATTTAGCCTACTCTACATCTATTTTTTTCATTAGTTCCCTCTAGCACTAACACTCTCAACATTCAAACAACCTGTGACAGCTAACGCGTCCAGACTAGAATGCAATAGCCCAAAATACCAACACCAAAATTTTATAATGTTCAGTAAATAAGTTTCAACAGACAGTAAGACTATTTCCATAGCATTGTGAATAACTTCTCAAGAAGTTCATTAAGCATTTGGAGTAAAACTTAAGATACGTCTTAAGCTTATGATATGGTACCTTTACCAGAGTGTCATAGGATTCAGTAAAATTGTTAATAATAAACTAAATAAGGGGTACATGTCCACAGGAATTAAGGAGCAAGGCATTAGACATTTTGAAAATGACAGCTGCTATCTGTTTGCAGATACGTGAAAGAGAAAAGATGAATTCATATTAATTTTGCTACTGAACTTTTGGGTTTAGATACAGAATTTTGCAACTGTTCCTGGAGAATTTGATTCCATCTTGGTAGAATGGAGTGAACCCTTCCTTCTACTCTCTCTTTAACATTAGATTTCCAACAAGTAGTATTGTTATAACTTCCTTCTATCTGAAAAGTATTATGCTTTTTTTTTTTTTTGCAATATTCTGTAGGCAAGGGCAATAATTTAAATATCTCCTTCCTCTTTTAAACCAACAACAATCTCAAACTACTCACCGATGCATTTCTCAAAGTGCCTGTATCTGTATTTTCTGTTTCCATAGAAAAAGATTTTTCAAAATACTTCTCCGTCAAACATTCAAAAGAGGGAACTGTGTCACTGGGGTTTATCAGCCATGCTGCAATCCTTGGATCTAACACGACGCTATCGGCAACTACAAAAATAAGTTATTTCTGACAATCAAAACGCTTAAATTACTTCCTATATTGAGAAATACTTCTAGAGTTTTGTCCATGTTTCCTTTAGACATACATCATAAATAGACAAGCATTCAAGTGATTCCAGTATGAGCATTTCTAGAATTTCATTATATCCTCTTGAGCAGAGGAAGTCTTTCTAGGAAACATGAAACATGAAGCAATTCAACCTTCTCAGCTATCATCAGGACTGTGTTAAAAGCTTTTGTTTCCACTGGAATCTAACCTTAAACTATTCAATGTTTTTATTCCTACTCTGAGAAGAAAGACATAATCTTAACATGCCAACTGTCTGGTCGTAAACCTCCAAAGAAGGGTTTTCTTTCCATGGTACTAAAATTCTGTTCTCCAATATATTACCTAAACACTAATCTAGTTGCTTCTACACCATGTAATTTTAACAGAAACATCACAGGCACAGAGATTATAGGATTAGGTTATAGATTGGATTAGACAGTTACCTTGTTTCCAGCTAATTTCATTACCATAAATTTGAAGTACTGTCCTCAGAAAATCTTTTGCATTGAAGCAAATAACTGGAACTTTGCGACGCAGCATTTGAAACAACACTCGCCTGCACGAAAGAAATTTATTAACATGTACTATGCTGCTACCAGATTTAGTTAATACATTTAATTTATTTTTTAATTAGCAACTAATATTAAACTGAACAGCTAATACAAAACCTTTCTTTATTCCTTTAAGAACAGAATATTGTATTTGAATATTAAATTCTCAATTCAAATCCTGGAGCTTCATTCTATACTAAATTAGCAGATGACTTCCCATGCACTCATAAAGAAAAGAAAACCTTATTTGGCACTTGAAATTAAATTCAACCTTAATCTAAAACTGCAACTTGCATTCCTGTTATACTTTAACATACAAAATGAGATCGGAGAAGATTCTAAATAAACATAGTAAAATCATGATTTAAAAGTTGTTAGACTATCTAAATTGACCTAATTGCTTAGTGTTAATTTTCTCTAAGTCTAGTATGCTTCATATCATGCCACATTTTTCCATTATTTTTGAAAATGTCTACAGTTCTCATGTGTTATATGTATAACATTTGAAGTATACATAGATTTTACTAATAATGTGTATCATTTTTTGTTAGCTTTATTTTAGGCAATACGGAAAAACAATAACTCTTTATAGAGTTTGAGTTGATATATCTTTAGTGATATAAAACCAGGGTACCAAGCTTTTAGACAGATTATAAATTGTGCAGACCATAAGGTATTACTGTATATAGTTTTGATCCACTACTAAACAACTACACTGTTCCTAGAAAAATTAGATAAAGCCTATAGATAATACAATTATTCAACTTGTTTATTCTTGAGTTCTTATTGCTCAAAAGATCATGCTTTATTGATGTCATGCTCAGTTCAGAAGAATCAAACCGAAGACACTTTATAAAACTAATCATTTTATACTTCCAACGTTGCATCTGGAGAAGTACAGGTAAGCGTAGTGATTTGTTTCAAGTCATACAGTGGTGCGGTGCAGAGATGTGATCAGCAAGCAAGTCTAACATCGCAAAACTTAATGCTTTGTACTTTAATTCCCCAAATTCAGTAGTTTACAATAAAACAGTCATTACTGAAAATTATAAAATCTTCTGAAGAAATTTTAATATGCAACTATTATTTTGAAAGATCAGTCTCATCCCTGCCATTATAGGATACTATTTCAAAGTTAATAATAAGGAATAAAAACAGATTTTGGCTATGCCAAGTGGACATTTAAAATATAATCCTACTTTTTAAAGATTTAGTTCAACTATTAAACAGATGCACAAAGCATTTACTTTTTTTTGCTTGTAATTTGGATGTAACATTGTTTCTGAATCCTAAGAAAGCCTCATTCATCATCTCAGTCATTAAACAAGCCTATTGCACTCCATGCTCAGAAATTAGAAATAGCAGCCAGGCTCAAAAAGGATATATATCATAATGATGTCCTGAAACATATTGTGTAAGAAATGCAGTGCAGCAAATTGAAGATACATATTCTTCAAAGTTGTTTTTTTTTTTTGGTGTTTTTTTTTGAAGCCGTATAACCATCATGTGTTCATAAAGCTTTTCTAAGTGAATGAGTAGCTATTACTAAAATTCCAATCTCGAAAAGAAACACCACAGCATAACACCAACACAGGCTGGGCAGGAAACAGATTGAGAGCAGCCCTGAGGAGAAGAAGGACCTGGGGGTGTTGGTTGATGAGAAGCTTGACATGAGCCAGCAATGTGAACTTGCAGCCCAGAAAGCCAGCTGTGTCCTGGGCTGCACCAACAGCAGCATGGGCAGCAGGGCAAAGGAGGGGATTGCCCCTCTCTGCTCTGCTCTCATCAGACTCCACGTGGAGCCCTGCATTCAGCTCTGGGGCCTCCAGCATAAAAAGGACGTGGAAATATTAGAACGAGTCCAGAGGAGGGCAGTGAAGATGATCAAGGGGCCGGAGCACCTCTCTTACAGAGAGAGGCTGAGGGGTTATTCAGCCTGGAGAAGAGAAGGCCCCTGGGAGACCTTACAGTGGTGTTCCAGTGCCTGAAGGGGGCTGCAGGAAAGCTGTGAGGGATTCTTTGTCGGGGACGCAGTGGTAAGACAGGTAGTAATGGCTTCAAGCTAATAGATGGGAGACTGAGGAAAGAATTGCTTCTTCAGAGGGTGGTGAAGCACTGGCACAGGTTGCCCAAAGAAGCTGTGGATGCCCCAGCACCACCCAAGGCCAGGCTGGATGGGGCTTTGGGCAGCCCGGGCTGGTGGGAGGTGTCCCTGCCCATGGCAGTGCAGGGTGAAATTAGGTGATCTTTAAAGGTCCCTTCCAACCCAAACCATTCTATGATTTAATGAACATTATTACTGTTGCCAAATGCATATGTAAAGCAAAGTAGTATTTTATTTCTATATGTTCTCACCAAGCAAATTTCTTGTGAGCCTGTTCTTCTTGTTCCCAAAGAGGTGAGCATTCAGTTTTTAAATAAATTAATTTGTCACTTTCATCAGCAGCATTCCGAATACGGTCACTCGAAGAGTAACTGGGAGAACAGAGGCGATCTGTCTGATTCTTCACTAATATAACGATTCCTTTTACTGATGAAGTTAAGGCCTGTTAAGTATAATTAAAGCTTTTCCTAGATTTTATGCAATTCGATAAAGAAGATTTCACTAGTATTTTACCATATGAATGTCATCACATACACTACGGTCACTGCACACACCCTTAACAGAATAGAGCAGCAGACAAAAGCATCCTTGAAAGCAAAACCCACTGTACAAAGAAGAAAAAAAATATTCAAGCAGTCTCACTAGAAGTACACTAATGACTGTTTAACCCAAGTGGTTCCATTTGCTTTAAATTTTACTTTGTAGAAAAATAAAACTTGGAAATATTTACTTCATTTTGCATTTATATTTTTGTAAGCAAGAATATCCAAAACTGGTCTAGACTCCATGGTCCCAATGAACATAATTTTGTGTTTATTGGAGTCATATGTATTGTCCAAATACATCTACAACACTGCCTCTATACAAAACACATCGTTCACTAACCTGCTCTGAGTTGAGCTGTGAAGAACCATCTTGAAATATCATAGTAGTTACAAAAGCCACTGCCTGTTCTATATTTGCAAGCAATTCTCTTTTTTCTTCATTTCCCAAACTCCTGATATCACAAGGATAATTTTCAGAAAATTCTGGTCGTCTGGAAGTCCAGTTATATCTTCTTTCATGTGAAGTGTAGTTCATTAGAGGTAATCTTTTTTTCTCCAAGTGACATGTAGGTACATCTTGCTTTCTTTTAAGGGGAGTAGCTACATTCTTTTCATCATCCTTCAGTTTTTTTGCTTTTACTGAAAGATTTTTTTTTCCATATCCCCATTTAGATAAGTCTAAATCCTGGTAATAGCTCAGTATTTTGGTAGCTTGATAGGAAAGCATTTCATTGGTATGTACTGTCCTGACTTTCTGACCAGTACTTCTTGCAGGGCTTGCAGATGATTTTAATAATGCAATTGTGGAATTATTAATTTCCTGGAAAAATCAAATTTTTCAGTGAACTAATTATTCAACTTATTAGGAGACAGAAATAATCATCCCTGAGTTAATTCAAAAAGCTTTTCAGGAAGTGATGCTGTACAAAAGAAAAAAAAATCTTAGTGATACCATCAAGACAGACAGACAGTTTAGAGGAACTTTATCACATAGGCCAAAATTCAAGTGTCTATCAGTAAAAGTGATTTTGTTGATTTATATTGCTGGCATCCAAAACCACCACCATATTTGTTTGTTTGTTGTTAGTCCAAAACTAACAATGCCAAATTAACAAGAGCCATCTAGTCCGGTAGCCTGTCTTCCACAATGACTAGGTCATTAGCAAGCTTTGTGTGAAGGGAGAGGCGACCTTTCATTTTCATCTTTAGCTTCAATATTCAAAGGGTTGTTTTTATTTTTGGCAAGGGACCGTAATACCTGCTTTGGAAGTTCTGAATCCACTGAATCTCCACCTTTTCCAAAAAAAATTACAGGATTGCAAGACACAACAAGAATTCATAGGAAAGTTGCATAGAAGGTGCACCTTATTATCAGGTGTGCAGCTAAGTATTATACTCTAGCCTGGTTAAATCACTATCCCCACAACAGCTTTCATATTCCACACATTTCCCTGCATCCTTTTGTAGCAGCGTGTTTTATTTTTTTCAAAGTGCTATTAAAGAGCCTTGAACAAGAAATTGCATGGTAACATAATTCTAATCCTTCATCCTTGATTTCCTTGGTATGCTACTGGCCTTTGTATTTTCTTGCTGTTTATTTTGCTAGTTTCTTCAACACCCTCTTCAGCCAAGAGGGATCCTTTGTCTTGTGTTCTTTATGAAATACAAGTTCTGTAAAGTTGCAGGATGTTTAGTTGTCTCCTACATACTGTTGTTTAGCCATACTGCTCCCACACCCAGAGAGATTGTTTTAAGCCTCCAATACTCTGTTTTGTATAAGTCCTTATTACCTACAGATGTTTTGCTTTTGGAGGGGAAACACCCTATACTTTCTTTTAAAAGCTCCTTCCTTTTTATGCAATTTCCTTTTTAAAATGAGGCAATCCTATAGTGACTTATCTATCTTTAGTACCTCAGAAAGACTATAGTACTGTAGTCCCTGTCAGGGTAACCTCCAGCAGGAATATTTTGATCTTGATCTTACACAGAATCAAATCAAAAGCAGTTTTTCCTTCAACTTCTCTAACTGCTTGGCAAAGCCATTGTTTTCTCAGTTTTAGTCCTCACACCGTGCATAAGTATAACATTTACACACTATTTTAAAGTAACTGAAGGCTCTCGTAATTACTACATTTTCTGCTCTTGGAATCACCAGCCTCCTTCAGCACTTCTGTCATTCCAAAAACTGAGGCCTTCTTGCTTTAAAAGAACCACAAGTTACTGCTGTGCAGGCCTCACATCAAGAACAAGAACAAGACAACAATTTCCACTGATTAAAGGATATCATCCATTTCTATTCACTCGATTGTTTGAGCAAACCAGAAAGGCAAAGCCAATGCTTTTTTGTTGGTGGTGGTTTGCAATATTCCTTAACCAAGATCCCATTTTCCCAAACCTCAGAACTGTGGAATCAAAAGGATGAAAGAGCCTTAGACTAGTTAAAAACACTTTACAGGATCAGCTCTACAGAAAAAAAAAAGGTACAATTAAAAGGTTTTAAATAAACAGAAAAAGATTTAATTAAGTTTTTGCTGCTACCAAAATGAATAGTGATTGTTCTGAAAGATGACAAATAAATTGGACTTAGGCAAAGCTAATCACAAAGGAGACACTAAAAAAAGCTACCGTAAGTGGAATAATATTAGCACAGAAAGACTGACTGTTCAAGAACCGTAGACAGACAGCTAATCCACTTAAGTGTATTCTCCAGTCAAATCACAAATAGTTTGCATTGTTTAACATATAGTAAAATTTGAATTAGGACACTGAAGTAATTATAGAATCAAGAATAAGTAATTCTCTTTTAAAAGATCAAAAATAAGAACAAAGCAAATTTAATTATCAAATCAGAATAATATAGTTGGAATTACAATTAACCACAGAGAGGAGCAGCAGCTTCTGGGAAGAACTGATCATCTATTAGAAATAATGACATAGCTGGAAGTAAACAACAGGCTTTCTAAGTCAGAGGAGGTCGTTTCATAATTTATGTGGATTTAGAAGAATTTCATTAGATCTGGTGTGTCAAAATTAGCTCCTCAACATTACAAAAAGAGGTTCCACTACCACATACGTTCACTAGTGGCTTAAGTCATTCTCATCATGCCTACAGACAAGCCAATGTAATTTGCAGGAAACTACCTCACCACGCACACAGGAAGCGTACTTTTCTGCTTCACAAGGAACCTGAACAGACTTGCAGAAGTGTGCACCATGCACCAGTCAGAGTAATGAAGGATGTGTGATCTGCAGCTGGGGAGCTCACTTTTAATATCCGCAGCTCATTTGACCAACTTTATGGTCCTCAATCACAGCCTAAGTTGGGACCACCCCAGTTATCCATCATTCTTGGCTGGCACTTGCATGCACACTGAACTAACTTCAGGGAGATGATTCCACCAAAAATTAAACTTCCTTTAAAACAAAGACATTTTTCATCTGAACCAGATCACTTTATGATTATGTAACTAGTACCTGCCTGTGGAAGGATCAGAAATGTAAAACAAGATTAAATGGAAAAGAAGGAATGGGTGATGAGACACTGTCATGGTGTTGCAAAGTGATAACTTGAAGAGATTAATCCTACGAGCAAAAAGTACGGAACAGAAAAAGTGATGCAGCACTAGCAACACTAGAGAAGAAAAAAGTTAACACCCGTGGAAAGCAGTACAGCCAACAAGAGCAGTAATTTCTTAAATATGTTTTTTCTAGTATCAATAAGGAAACATGTATTTTTATTCCCACACCTTTCTTTTATTCTGGGGAAAAAGAAAAAAACACAAACCAAAAATAAGAAGATATGCTTCAAGAATTCTTTATTTTGGAAAAAAAAAAAGCCTTCTCCTTCTGTAACAGACAAAAGTAGTGGTCTCCTGTATGAATACATGAATGCATTTGGGTAAAAAATAATGCCTAAAGCTTCATCCATGCAGTTGCTCTAAGGGCATATAGTAGACAGAAAGATGCATTAATTTCACACAGCTTATGTAGAGGACATAGTACCTGATGGCTGTACTGTATACCCCATGGGCATTATATGGGTCATGCTAGTTATGATGAAGTGACAATTTTATGCTGAGGCAACAATTCACAAAACATAAGCCACTTCACTACTACTATGAAAAGCAGCATGCTGTATTTTGCGGGATTTTTTTTGGATGCCAGTGATTGTCAAACTGAGGTTACACAACATTTTTATTCCTTAGTAACTATCTAAATGTGTCAACCTCATGTATTTCAGATCAATGTCACAATAGACTTAGTATAAATAGGAAAAGTGGGGCCAATACTCTCAAAGGTAGAGTAGATGTCAAGTGCAAAATAAGACTTATAGAGGAAAGTTATCTGAACCACCAGAATATGCAATGTACTGTGATAAAACCTGTTATGAAAGAGCCAGTCAATAACTTCCAAACTTCCACTAAAGAGTGGCTTTTTAAGTAGTCTTTTATCTTACAGTGTGCTTGCCTTTTCATTTTTCAGATGTGCATCCTTATCACCTAACTTATTTTCCTCAGTCTTCTCTATACCTTAAAAAAAAAAGAAAACATTTTACAGTACAAATGAACCTGAGATGAATGCATACAACTTTGGTTACATGCAATGTTACACTACCAACACTAACCAAACCTAAAATAATTGCAATCAAGTTTTCAATGCCAACTGTTTTCCTCAAATTAATATAATTCAGGCTCTAAATGGCTCTGCAGGTTCCTGAATATGCACATGTAAAAGCATGCTCTGTCCCCATGAAGAAAAAGTTACATTCAGCTTTGCTACATAGCCGACAAACATGGTATTTTCCATGGTATTCAGACAAAGCATTACTATAATATTTTAAGAATGCCTACCACCTTCTTTCAAGAAAACACATCCCTTTTTGGTCAAAGTAAAGATAAGGGCTTGAGCAAGGAAAAAAAAAAAACACATTTCACACAGTTGAACTTGGTGTTAGACAGTATTATTCTCCAAAATATTATTCAGTATACTTTATTCACACATGTATCTTTAACTTATGATGCCCTAGAGAAAACTGACCAGGCTTTACCAAGAGGTTAATTTTTTCACATTGTTCATCCTCGCAAGAGAATGAGTATTGTAAGATCAGACAAGAATAGAGAGCAAGGAAGATTCAGACTTATCAAATAGACAGAAGGGTAATAACGACCAGCATCCCAATAAGGAGCAGGATTATTATTAGAGCTGGGTTGAAGACAGAGCCCTGAGGCACAGCACAGCTGTTCTCCTGGGCCCACCACCACATTACCAGCAGTGGTTGGCCTACAGTTCTGAAAATTTAAGGAAGCTTTGTAAATACACCTCAGAACTCCGCACCACGCTGAGTGACAGGGCTACGACATGCCTTCTCTTTTCTGCACTCAACACAGCCCAAGAGACCCAAGAGGAGAAGCAAATGAATAAAAGAACAAGGGCTAACAGACTAGCAGTAATTACAGATTCAGCAGGGACAATAAGAGGAGCCAGGCAATGGAGAACTCTCGTGAAGTGCATGGCCCTCCAGAGTTTGTAGTTACAAGCCCTGTGTCTCTAGATCCTTCTACTACCCAGCCAAAAAAAGCACTCCTGGGCAAAATACGCATATTGTCCCTTTCTAACTGCTGGTCCAGGCAGAGTCCATTCCACTGCTGCCTTCAGCTACAAAATTTGTATTATGAGAATGTGTCTAGCTTCTGGATCTAACAAGCTGCCACACAGTATCAAACAAGGCATAAGTGGACCTTTTTCCATTTACTAAAACTGTATTCTAAAAAGTTTTGAAGAGGTAAAGCAGGATCCTATACTTAAAAGACTAATAAAAAATAATTTTAAGAGACTACCTCAGTCTCCAGAAAAGACTAATCTTATTACTTTACAATATCACAGGCAGGTTCAGTTATTTTATCTCCAGCTTAGCCCCCTAACCTGAACTGTTAGAACAGTCAATATGGTATAACTGAATTTAGTGTCAAACATTTTAGGTTTGGTTTTCTTGACACTTCCCACAACAATAAAACTATCATTTAACAACGATAGCAATGTGAGTCTAATGTCAGCGCTTTTAATCACTTCATGGCTAGATACTTGTTCTCAATAAATTCACCCTCCAAAGATGAGGATTACATTGCTCTCGTTCAGCACACAGTGCTCAGTATGACTGGTATCTAAATCACCACACCACCTCGAATTTCTGGTTCATGAAAAAGTATCAGCAGATGGCAGTAGAAACCCATCCTTGCATTCAAACGTACTGCTGGATGGAACTATTAGAAATGCTACTGCCAAGATGACCACAATTTCACCCATGAGTTCAACATCACAGATGTTTGTGCTATTTGAATCCAGTATTTACCTTTTAAAGACAGACTTTCCAATTAAGTAGAATTAAAACTTTAAAGATCTTATCAATAAAATACAGTCCAACATAGCCATAAACAGACCAACTTTTGTTGTTGTTATTTTGGTGTGGTCTTTTGTTTGTTTATTTTAAGGCAAACTTTTCTTCCTCCCCGGATCCATGCTTTGATCAACTAAAGCTACATACATAGGCACTTTCCTAAGAGTGATTCAAATTATAAGTTTGTTCTTAAGTCTGTAGACTAGAAGCAATCGTTATTAAGATAAGGGAAACAAAACAGCTAGTCATGTGACATGCTGCCACTAAATGCTTATACTGTTCTTTCAATACCCAGTGAGAAAGGGTTTAGGAACACTACAAAGACTGCAGTTACAATTGGCTAAAAATACCAGAGACTATCATTGTACTTTTAAAGAAAGCGAATCTCTCATTTTACTGCTTGACAGAGTGAACGGATGGCGAGCAGACAACATAACACTACACAGACATCACACAGAAGGGAGAGTTCCCATATCTATGACAGAAAACGTTTAACAGAAAATGACAAGGTAGCAAGAGAAGCAGAAAAGCAATTAAATCGAGGCTGAAAGGAGATCTCACTTTCTTTAAAATAATCTGAGTTTTGGTTTTCATGTTAAGATAAATGTATTCCATGTCTTCAAATGTGCATCACCAATTTACATAGCAATGAGCTACTACCCTTTTCACTGCTACACCATCAGGCTCCAATGATCCATTATCTTACTAGTGAACGAAGAGCCTGAGCTACTGTTTTTATAAAACCAAGGTTGTAATGAATGCCATATAACAAGAACAAATGCAGTATTTAAATCTTAGTTTTAAATCCTGTTGACCAGATAATGTTCCAGGATCTACTTCTCCAGAAAAAAAAGAGAACAGAAATTAAGCAAGACTTTAACATTCTACTTCTTTCCAGAGCTACACGATTGAACTATTAAATACACAGAATTGAGAATAAAAAAAATCTTGCAAAATGTCACTAGTATCTACTACATTCTGAGGATGACGGTGGGCTTTGCCCAGAGTCAAAGATCTGCTGAGGCTCTTTTAACATTACCTAATTTGCTCTACAATTTGGACTTTTGTTCACTCTTCCCCCTAGAATTTCACAAAGAGTGAGTTGGTAATGAGCATGTGTTTAAGAACAGACAATAGTCTGGAGAACTCACTGGCCTCCTTGCAATTTCCCAGTACCTCTAGTGATATTTAAGTATCTAGCCCAGATTCAAGTTAACATACATTTAGTTTACAGTATTAGTTAATTAAGAATTGGAAATTCTCATCTGTTTTAATACCACATAGCAGAAACTAGCAGGAACAGGTTACGAAAGATTAAAAAAAAAAAAGCAATGAAACACAGAGTACTGGCAATATCTTAGTTCCCTGCACTTACACAGCATCATTTAACCAGACGAGTCCCAGCAAATGCCACAGTTAAAGCTCAATTCATTTTCTAAACCTAGAAACACTTAATTTTCTTCTTAAATAGGGACTGGAGGTTTGATGTTGTTGTTTGTTTGCATTTCAGTTTTTGCAACTGAAAATATAGACACTTAAACAGATCAAAATTTACTCACTCTGGTTATTTTTTCTGCTAGTCTGAATTCCTGTAGGAACAGACTGTAAAGCTGACATAATCCTCTGAGCAGCATCAGATAAAGGCACTGCAGAAATCTCACATCCTATATATGATGTGTAATGTTCCATTTTTACGATTATACCTAAACACGAAACACACATGAATTATGCATGCTGTCAGGGTCACAAAACAGTCTGCATTTAACATTCTTTTCAAGTTAAAGACAAAATAAAGACAAAACATAGTGAATATGTTCAGACCTTCATTCTCCTTAACAGAAAATTTCCTCCCTGACTAGTTTTTAAGTATTGTAATAAAAATTAGAAAATTATACTAATTTACAAAACCTATGAAGTGAAACTTCTTTGAAATACAAGGTTTTAGTACACTGATAAAAGTTAAACAGTTTTTTTAAGTACAGCTAAATTCTACTAAAAGAATGATAAAACGAGAATTTTCCTTTGTGTTGGAAATATTTCCCCCTCAACATCTTTAAATTAGTTTATATCTAGCGTATCCATGCATTTACTGCTGGTGGTACTCAGGTTTTAAATCAATAAAAAAAAAATCTTTCAAGAGATACCTGCCAAAATAGCACCAGTACAAGATGAAAGCAGTGTTACTATCAAAATATATAAAGATTAATGATATACGTATTTTCTGAAATAGCACAAAAGACCTCTATTCCTTAAATGTTGTAAAATTGATGTAGTCAAGTAACATTAAGTAGTATTGTTATTACATTTTTTGTCAATTTAAGGTCAGCAACATCTAAAGTCTCAATGAGTTCCAAGTATAGCTACTACTGTTCTAGATTTTATCCTTTTTTCCCCTCCCATAGCATCTGTTTTTAAAGTTGTCCCACAGCCACGTTCTATAACGCACATAAAAAACTCGGAGCCCCTAGGAACAACACATATGGGAAAATTAGAAACAGAAGGCATCCATACTGACATCTTTCTTGACTTCAGTTAAAACGGAACAATGCATAAAACTTACCACAAACACAAGGTATCTATGCAATATTTTCAAAATACTTGCATCAAGCAAACATTTCCTTCTGTTTACATGGAAATATTTTTCTCAGCTCAAGACCATAGGCAGATTGCAAGTTTGAAGTACAAACATTTGTATCCAAATTCAAAGAACATCCACCAAGCTGCGTTAAATTTTTCTTAATAGCTGTCTAGCTCAAAGAGGTTTTTTTTCCTGTTTGAACTCACATATGCACTACTCTGAAGATTTCATAATGATCTTAATTCTGAAGCCAATTATCAGTTGGAGAATTGATGTTGCAAAAGACAAAAAGCATCTCAAAATTCTTATTTGTGAGGATTTAGTCTGAAACAAAAAGGAAACAAGACTAAACTTCAGCACAGCATAGAAGTGCTTACAAAGCTTACGGACAGTGATATAGGGAGGTATCCTTGAAGGCCCAGGATACTTGTGGTCATAGCCCTTGGAAGAAAAGAACTCATACCACATGATGCAAAGTCACAAAGAACTGTCTTTCATGGAACCTAATGAAGGATATAGTAGAAAAAAACAAAAACAGTTTGTAAAAGGCACTGTAGAGTGAAAGCTGGTTTGCAATTTGAGAGTAAACATGTAGAAGGGGGAAGGAGGCAGAATGGCTCTCCTTTCCCTGACATTCATGCATATCATACACCTTCTCCAAACTTTCATAATTAGGAGTGACATTGCTTTCCTACTCGGGGTAAAAACATCCCGACTTCTCAGGGTGGGAAGCAGCAGCCTTCCAACTCTGGGGCACATCAAAATGAGAACCTAGCAGACTAAATACAAACAAGACCCCAGGCGTGAGAATATGTTTAAAACATACAGATTTGCAGTAAATATCGACAACACTGAACTTGTAATGTTTGGCATTTAATAATAATAAACAATGTACGGAGCTAAACAGCATGAAACACAGATATAAAGATATACAACCAGTAAGTTAAAAATTACACATTTAAAAATAAGTTATATTCTTATATAAAAGCTTAAAGTCTGCAGTCAAAATAGTTTTAAGAAAACTGTTACTGAATTTAAAGGAAATTATCTAGCCTTCATCAATGCGTACAACACTTGCAAGCAGGCATGGCTGATGCCATCAAAAATACGTAAGACTGGAAATTATTCTATAAAAGTGTATCTACTTCCACTGGTGTATTAGGAAGCTACACAAAAGTTTGATAAACAGTCTAACAATATCAGTGAAAGCAGAAGTATGAAAGCATTAAGACTGACTTCAAATGCCTATCATCATAAATTGCGTACAGAGAACCACATGCAGTTATGCCAAAACTGGTCTGAAGTCCAAAGGTAAATTTTGAATTCATTTTCTCTGAAAAGTCTGGCTTATGTATGGACTAGTTTCAATGGAGAGGATAGGCCATAATTTAAGACATATCAAAGTGGCCATAAAAAAAAAAAGGTCTTGGTACTCAAAACAGATTCTGGTATATATTTCAATATGTTCCCATATAACAAAAATATTTCTTCTTAGGGGAACTGTAAAGGAGTCTGAATTTCTGTCTCAGAACTTTCCTCTTCAGAAGGGCACTACATTCGTGTTCCAAAATCTGGAATGACTTGCACTTTTTTTTTTTCTTTTCAATCCACCTATCAAAAGGTTCTTATTGTGCAAGAGAGCTGATCTCAAGTCTATGAAGCTTTCTTCTGTGATATGCCGTGTGCCCTGGAAATCAATATACAGGTTAGCAGAAGAGCAGCCTACATGTAATTCATTCAGCCAACCAATTAATTAAGTCACATCAAAGAACTCAAATCAAAGAACCTGGACAAAATTCCAATTTGCACTCAATGACCAGATGCCAAGCACCACATAATCCAAACTTGGTAACTGTGGGAGCTAAACATCCATTGCAATGACAGACAAATGTTAGCCTTGACAAGCTAATAGGCATCATTCCGTGAACTTGTAGACTGTTTACATTGACATGTTTTCCTATATTAAGAGCACATTGAATGTTAAACATTAAGCACTTCACCAGTGGTGAAATTCTGATTTCCCAGGCCACTGGCTTTAGCCTCCGACTGCCACTCGAGCTTCTCCACCAACTCTTTCAAGTGATCTTCATCTTTGAAAAAATACACATACAAGTTTCTTTCCATCTGATGCAACTTATTGGACTCTAAGAAGTTTCTCTTTGACTTCAAATCAGCAATAAGATCCATAATTAATTGATTTAGTTTATTTAAATCATCCTCCAGTTGATTAAACTGTTCAGTAAGTTCCTAATAAAAAAAAATACAAAACAAGAGTTAGTTTTACATTGTTAATACACTAGTTGAATTAGAAATATGAAAGTTTTTGCTTTTGGAAACCCCTTTCCTTGTTAAGTAAAAAAATCATTAGAAACAGAAAGCAGAGGTGATAAATTCAATGCATGTAGCTTTTGAGCTACATCAGGTCCTGAAAATGTAATTTCACTTACATGTTTACTAAAACAGATGAGTTGAGACCATAAGAATCTAGCCTAGATAGATGATTGAAAGACACTTCAATAAAGTTTTCACAGCAAGGTAAAAGCGAACAAACAAAAACCCAATTCAATTTTAAAATGAAAAAGGTAGCAAATGCAATTTTCGCAACTGTTAATCTTACAACAGTTCAGTGCAGGTAGGCTCCCTTCTAGCTACAAGTGCAGAGCACAGCACTGTATGGGCTGCTGCAGGGAAAGTTAATACCCCAGCCAGACCCAGTACAGTCATCTACTTATATGTTATTTCTTTATTAAGGGAGTGAAGTTACTTTTCCTGAGAAACAGTACCAATAGAAAAAAGCGTCACTGTTTTAAGAGGTAACATTAATCAATAAAAAGTTTGTTGATGGATACAACCTGTAATCCCTAAATATGTATTGTTCCAATTCCAAATTTCTGAATAACATTGTCCTATATGTTGCAAATTCAGTTGACAACTGGAAGCATTAAAAATATATATATATTTTTAAGTATTTCATAACAAAACCCTTCCCTCGATCCACTTTTAAGATACCTAGTCGCTTACTTGCTTATAACAACCCATGCCTAACAACCCCTATTGCTTTTACAGCCTCTTTTAAAAGGGAATACTCAAGAGCTCTGTAGCAGAACTGTCTTACTACAAAGTTCTCAAAATTTTGAAGGACAGTTATTTCATCCACACAAGTCACCCATGGGCAGGCCTTTTAAGGGGCTGAACCTTACTACTCAGGTACTACAGGGCAAAAAATCCTTTCTGGAATCAAGAGAAATTTAAGTGACTTTTCCAGTGATATATCCAGAAGACATTTTCCACACCACAGACTTACCAGTTGTACATGACTGTAGATGCCTTTCAAAGAAATGAAGGGTTAGATGCAATTATTTGCTCAAAACCAAGAAATTGTTACCTGCCAACATACACAAAACCCAACATTTCCTAAGAACAATGTAACTACTAGCCCACCACCATTAAGGCAACATTTGTTGCTACCCTGCTGTACCAATTTGTGTCCCCAACCTTCATACTACATTTGTCTCAGTAAAAGAACACAACAGACATGAACGTAATAATTTTAGTAACTACATAAGGACATACCCGGCTACTGAATAGTAGCTGATTTCCTCCACAAAAGAGAGCATCATGAAGGGCATTTACATCACTATCTAGTTTGGACAACATGAGAGACTGTTCTTGAGAAGACACTGCTAGCTGGTCTTGTGCTGCAGCACAATCCTGCATCAACTTCTGAGCCATCTGCTGCAGGTTTTTGTATGTTTTAAACAATTGCTTTTTATCTTCTCCTTCCAGAAGCTGGTATAGCCTGTAACAAAAAGTTAGACACGTTTGTTTTTTTTAAAAGTTACCTAAGCATTCCCAACATTACTAGTCAAGAGAAGATCTTCCCGTTGAAGTCAGACTGAGGACTACACCAAAAGACAGGACTGCTCAGGTTACTCTTGATATACTGCTGTATCTCCCACTGATTTCATGATTCCATCTGTATATAGCTCATGAATGATTAATAGGATTCCAAATATTCCAACGTTATAAGCAACAGCAATGAAATATTGAAGTAGCAGTTAATGAGTACACAACGAATACCAATAGTTTGCAAAAGCACATGTTGTCAGCTTCTATTTCACTACGCTTTTCAAGCACAACAAATTAAGTTGTGTTTTTTTGAAGTGCTAGAAGACTGAGGACTTCAGCGGCCAGTGAGAAATGAGAAATCTTTATGACATTTCCAAGTTTACTGGACTGTTTCACATCTTGCATTTATGAAGAGACAGCTAAGGAATTCTACAATTAGTTGAGCCATGAGAAGACAGCAATACTTTACTACACCAAACAGTACCTTTACAATACATCCCAGTCTCACAATTACTGCTAACTTTGCTCAGTTGCTACTACCACCTCTGCTTATCAAAACCTTTAGGAGTTGAGGCCCACTAAAGAACCGGATTGGTTTTAATAAGAATGGGAGCTATATTTCAAGAGTAACTGAGTTTCTTTAAAGTGTCTTTTGCTTACTAAGCATTTAGGGTTTATAACTCTTGCAACTTCCTTTCACAGTCGTGAAAACTAAGCCCTGCCTTTTTAAAGAAAGAAAAAAAGTGAAAAGCAGCAAGATAACATTGTGATTTAGTCATATGGAGACTTAATAATAAACCTGAACAACATTACAAGTTGTCAACACACACACACCTGGAGCAAAATTAATGCTACCTAATGCTGGCAATCAAGTGAGTCTGTGCAAGACTAAACTACCACTTAACATAACAGCTATTAAAACACACACACTTGAAAGAAGGGGGAAAAGCCTAACATTAAAACATTAAGTATTATAGAACACACCATCTGAAAAGGTTTTGAGTCTTAAAGTGACATCAACACAACACGTTTCTACAGTATCACCTGAGCTACAGGGAAACTTCGTTACTTACATATTGAAAGGAATCTACATGGACAAGAGGACACAGAGGCCAGATAGCAAGGAAAGCAGCAGCAATGAGCTAACCGTGTTTCAGATGTTTCTGGAGTAGTTCCTCTCCTTTACCACATGGGGGTTTTTGCCAGCTAAGCTGATGAGGCCACAGATACCATCTGGGAAATCACTTCTTAGCAGCTCTCTGCATCTACATTTCTGGAGTAACTTCCAAGGAGCCCTAGGTCAGTGCACCATTTAAGAGAGGTTTCGCTATAAACATTCACAATATTCTCAGCGTTGCTTAGGAATGCTCTGGCAACATACACAAAACTGACACTTGAACAGTTCTCCTCAGTCAAACCTGGAAAGAGCCTCTAAGGATAAGCAAGAGGCAAATCTCAAAGGCTTCAGTTTTGGAGCAGTACAAAGTAGCTATAGCAAGCGACTAATAACTTAGCAATGGAGATAGCGTCACTTACCAAAGCCTTTATCTCCCCAGCTTTATTTCAAAATAAGTTCAACAGCAGCTGTAACACTCACCTACGAGAGAAGTCATCCTTTGGACCGATAGTGTTTCTCGGCTGTGCAGGTTGAGAGAGCTCCGATAACACCTCCAGTCTCTGTTGCAACTCGTTACTGCTCTGTTTCAGAGATTCTAGCAAATTGTCAAGTTGACGGTGCACGTCTTTCTGTTTCTTCAACTCAATTTCATAGGCTAGCTGAATAAGTTCAAATGATGCTTTCTGTCTTAGCAAATGGCTGCAGATTTCATCTTGTTTAGAAATAAAACAGTCCTGCCGAGCAATCTCAC